AAATAGTATATTATAATTATTATTATTATTATTATTATTATTATTGGAGTGATGACTTTATTAATATTATTATATGATATATATATAGATTGTTTTCAACAGACTTTCACGTTTGGCTTTGAGGGATATTGTTGATGTGAGATTACGTGAGGTTCAAGAAAGATTAAATGATAAACAGATTACTATTGATATTGACGGACATGCAAAAGCATGGTTAGCAACAAATGGTTATGATCCTGTTTATGGTATGTAGAAATTTCACACTGTATGATTTTCAATAAGTCTACTGGAACAATTTAGGTAAATAGCTAATTAATAATAATCAATAGGTGCCAGACCGCTTAATAGGTTGATTCAAAAGAAGATACTTAATCCTTTAGCAATGAATTTAATAGAGGTAACAATAGATAATTCACTTTTGTAAAAAAATTATAGTTAGTAATAATTTATATTTTAATAGGGATCTATCAAAAGTCATGAAGTAGCAAGAATACGAACAATAAAATTGAATGATTTAGAAGATGATCTAATTATTGAAAAAAATCATGAGGTCTCATCACCATCATCATCATTTAATGAAATTACCAATTAAATCAAATATATTTTTTCAAAAAGATGCTTCAGATATACACTTCTCTATTATGGATTTCAAATTGGTTGGAGGCCATTCTTATGGACCTTTTTTTTAAAAGTATCTTGAAAGATATTCAAGTCTTACATTTTTTACATTCTTATAAAATCTTTGTTTATTGTTTATTGGTATTGTAAAAAAAACTTTTTTGGCACAAATATATTTGGAATAAAAAATTAAATTCATCTATCCCCTTCCTTACCTGTTTTACATCATGATGCAATTTTATAATTTAAGATCCTGATGTTAATAGTATTATTAATGGAAATTTTTTTTTTATTTTTGATAATATTTTTGGTGACCTGCCGTTTTTTTATTTAATTGAAAAATATATTTTTGGAGACCTGCTGTTTTTTTTATTTAATTGAAAAATATATTTTTGGTAACCTGCCATATTTTATTAATATTAATATTAATATATAAAGAAATTAATTAATTAATTCAAAAAAAAATCATGTTTTTTTATTGTAAGTTTTTTTATCATCATAAGTTTTATTTATCATAAATTTTTTAAAACTTTTAGGTAAGTGATATATGGCATGAGCCCATTATTATTATACAGAAATTTAATTAAATATTAGAGTAAAATATTTAAATCATTATTATTATAGTAATAGAGAGAAAGTCATTGTATGAACTTTATTATTTAAATTGAATTTATAAAAATCACCAGACTTTTTCAATAAGCAAATAACATTTTTACCATTATGATTGAAAATTTAAATTAACTAAACACTGTATGCTGCAATGCTTGATTAGATGACATCCTATTATCTCTATCTACCTGACACAATTCAAGAATAAAATCCACAACAGTTTCAATTTCATTAATGTCACTTCTAATTGTTTTAAATGTAGAAAAATCTAGGTCACCTTTCATTATATTGTCATAAGCTCAGTATAATTATTTGATCTTCCTTCCACTCCTTCAACATGATTATTAACATTCCAAGGATATTGTTTTGACAACATATAGTAATTTACTATCCCAAATGACCAGATATCAATAGATTTGTCATATTCACATTGAGCAGTACCACCATCACTACCATTACCTTTTTTAAACATCTCAATACTATCTTTGAATGCCTTGGCAAGTTCAGGTGCAACAAATAAGGGTATCCCAACTAACTCTGTGCTGGTCTGTTCAATATAATTGCCCATGCTGTCAATAGATCCTTCTATTTTTTTTGACTCACCAAAATCAATCAACTTAACTTGATTAAAACTAGAATCTGTAAACATGATGTTGTCAGGTTTGATGTCTCGATGCATTATGTGATTTTCATGAATGTACTAGAGAGAATAAAAAAATTAAAATGTTACTATATGCAGTATAAAAGATATACAACTATGGTAATGTTTAAAATTATTAAATATAATATTTGAATACAATATTAATAAAACTATAATAAAAATGTTCTTGCCATTATAGCTGAACAAATTTGGAAAGCCAGTTTTTTCCAATGTTGGAAATTTATAAAACCATTTAATGTTTTAATATAATCCTCAAGGCTCCCCCCAAAAAGATAAGGTGAAATAATTACTATATTCTCCTCATCAAAATAATCATCAACTACCTTTATAATATTCTCATGGTCCAATATTTTCAAAATATCAATTTCATTTCTATGCTCTATTATTCTGTTTTTGTCATATTTTGCATCACTGACATGGATAATTTTAGAAGCATAAAGTCTTTTCATCGTTACAATTATTTGATCTAACTTTTTTAACTATGCATGTTTTGCCAGTTTATCATGGTCATTACTATCATCTTTGTTATTTATAACATGATGTCTTTCTCCTGATTGAGCAGGTAAACGATTATTTTCTTTTGCAACTATATTTTCACAATCAGTTTTGGCATCTTCAAAAAATTGTACATCTATATAAACATAATTGAATAAATAAAAGATAAACCAAATATACAAACATAAACATATATGTAAATTAATTGTTTTATACTACTTACAAAAAAAGCCCCCTTCAACCTTGATTGAAATCATATCATTATTATTTAAAACCTGTTCTTCATTCCATTTCAACTGTATACCATTAACATGAGTTCTTGTGTTCCAGCCATTTTTTATAACTGTTTCAAAATTTAATTCCTTGACATAATGCATTTTGTCTGTTTTTCTCTAATGGATAATAAATAATAATATTATTATTATAGAAATGATAATGATTTCAATATGTGCATATAATAGATATGAATGATTAATTAAGCTATTGTTACTTACAATTGTAAGTATACATTGTATACTTGCAACAAATGGGTGGCTAATTGTCAAATTGGCTGCTAGATCACACCCAATGGTTATCTGCTTTTGGGCTTCTGATAAAATAACCTTTTCACCTTCAAATACAACAGACGAGATTGCTTTGGCTCCCATTTTAGCAATCAGAATTTTACTGTGGCGTACATCAATGCAATGGTTATAATAACTTTTATCATAACTGGTGGTGGCTGTTTCAAAAGTATCCTTTTTTTTGTTGTTGTTGTTGTTGTTGAATTGTCTTGCTTTAATAATATTATTATTATTATCATCATTACCAGCATTATTGACTTTTGTTATTACAATCCTTTACTTCTCTAAGTTGATTTTCAAGATCAATTTTGGCATCTTCAAAAAATTGCATTTCTATATAAATACATATAATTGAATAAATAAAATATTAATCAAATATACAAACATAAACATATATGTAAATTAGTTGATTTATACAACTTACCAATAAAGCCCCCTCGAGTCTTGACTAAAATTTTATCATTGTGATGTAAAACATATTCTTCACTTGGCTCCAAAAGTTTTTTGTTGATAAAAGTTCTTTTGTTTGAACCATTTTTTATAAATGATTCATAACCTAGATCTTTAATATTTGTTTTTCTCTAATGGGATTGATTATAATGATAATATTATTATTATAGAAATGATAATGATTTTAATATTGCATATAATAGATATGTATGATTAATTAAGTTATTATTGCTTACAATTGAAATTTTACAATGTAATTTTGCAATATATAATGGTTCATTAATCATTACATTGCATGATTTGTCATGCCCGATAGTTATACGATTTTGGAATTCTGTTATACTAGTTTTTTGATTTTGATATATGGTGCGGGTCATCTAAAGACATCAAATGCTGTGCCGCACTGCCAAATCTTCAAATCCCAAAATAGTAATAATACTCTTTTGTGTCACGGGATTATAACATCACATGACTCAATCATTTTATTGTATTCGTTAATTAGTATTATATAGCAATGTTACTATTGCTATTACGAATAATTCATAAATGGAAACATTATCCAGGGTCCTGGTAACAGTAAACAAGCATAATACTACAATAAATTAGATAAATTAGGTAAATTTACTATATATATAATTAATGAATGAATTCTAACCAATGAAGGTGATAAATTATTGATTTATTATCAGATATTCATGATGTCAATATCCATTAATACATTTTCAGGGACTCTTCTATGTGAACAATATTTTTAACAGCATATATGGCAGCTTTACATGGTAATCCTAATATATAGGCTGACATATACCTGTAGCTTCTTCTAGCAAACTTTCTAATTTTATTCACAGATACTGAATCTGATGTATCAGGGACTATTTGATTTAAGCCTGTCCAAGAATAATTACAATTTTGTTTAGCATATTGTTTAGCTGATCCCAAAAACTTTCAATGAAATTTAACTCACAATGGTATTTAGGGTAAAAAATAATCTTATGACCTGCTTGTTCAACAATCTCCTCCAAAAGTGATTTTTGCTCCATAAAATCAGGCTCTGAAGACAATATTCTAGATGCACAACAATCAGCTTGACCATAATTTTTCTCCTTGCATTTTTTGCATATTTTTACCAATCCTGGAACCCATAATCCTCTTTCTTCCAAAACAAGTTTTATTCCTTTTGGTTCCCCATTTGGCAAAACCATAGATTGAAACATCCCATTATGCATTATGGTGTCATGCATCTTAGGTTGTGCACCTCCAGAACTTAAGTTCATTCTAGATACAACTAAGGCATCTTTTGCATATGATGTATGGTTAGAGCTTTGATCAAAAGCAAATATAGCAACACAATCAGGAAACATTTGTTCAAAGATAGGTATTGCTTTCATTTTTAACTATTAAATATAGATACAATTTTGATTTAAATTAAATAACTCTTAGTTTATGGATAATAAATAAATAAATAATATATATATAGATCTTACTTGATCAACAAGATTATCACTTGTCCAATATCCATCACAATTGATCCCAGGTCTAATAATGGTACATGCATCATCTTCAGGAATTCTTTCATTCTCAGGTAAATTACTGTTATGTTCCTTTTATACTTGTCCTAAGCATAAACGTCCAATAGGTTCACATAAAAATTCACTAACATGAAGGCTGGCACCTTTATTTTTTGGACGTAAAGGTTGCTCATTATTTGGCCCCCAAAACTTATCCAATCCATCATTAGAAAAGAATATAGATTCATCATGAGTTACCAGTATATGAATCTTTTCATCAGAATTTAAGGATGGCCAAGTCACTTGTTCCATATTTTCGCCATCAAAGATAGGCATGTACCTTTCATAAATTTTCATTTGATCTAAAAATTTTTCACAATATTCAACTACATTATCTCTTTTATGTCCATCAACATAAATGTCTTTTCTATATTTATTATAAGACCATCCCATTTTGCTAAGCCATATATGTGCAGTCCTGTCACTAATTTTTTTTTCCTTCTCATATCCTAATGATGGAAGTATCACATCTGAAACATGATTAATAAAGTCATGAAGTCTAAAATTAACCTTTTTAGAATGTAAATATTGACTTATCTTAATTTGAATATCTTCATCATTTAATGCAGATTTGATCTTCTGATGTTTCCAATGTTTTGAGGAAACCAACATTCCTTTTTTTTTGTATTGGGATGTCCAGGATCTTATTAATCTAGACATCCATGGGCCACAGTTTAAACACTGCAAGCATCTTACTTACTTCCATTTTTGAACCACCATTCTGTACTAATCTCGAATATTGGGCAACGTATCTTAATCTATAGATGCTGGTCACAATTCTTGGTGATGGTTGCAATCATATTTGCGACATATAAAAATGGTTTGCAACACCTGGTTGCAACCACCTTTGCAACCACTTTGTTTCCTTTTTTGGATTGCAACATGGAACACTATCTTAATCTATTTTATTTTTTTTTAATTTCTTCCTCAAGCTGCTCTAAAGTAAAATTAGATGAATCCTCTTCACTAAATTCATCAAAATTCTCTTGAATGAAGTTAGATGGGACTTCACTTCTTCTGATGTTTCCAATGTTTTGAGGAAACCAACATTCCTTTTTTTTTGTATTGGGATGTCCAGGATCTTATTAATCTAGACATCCATGGGCCACAGTTTAAACACTGCAAGCATCTTACTTACTTCCATTTTTGAACCACCATTCTGTACTAATCTCGTTGTCGTTATATGTAGGTTTACGTGGTAATTGAGCAGATGATGTTATTTGAGGAACAATATGTGGTGGAAGAACTGGTGCTGGAAACGATGGTTTTGATTGATGATTGTTACGACTAATCTCGTTGTTGTTATGTGTAGATTTGCGTGGTGGTTGAACTGATGATGTTATTTGAGGAGCAATAGGTGGTGGAAGAATTGGCGCTGGAAACGATGGTTTTGATTGATGATTATTATGACTAGTCTCATTGTTGATGTATGTAGATTTACGCGGCGGTGGTGGGGGTGGTGTTTTTTTTGATTGCCTATTTGGAGTTGGTGGTGGCACTTTTTTATTTTTTGTATTATTGGATTTGGTAATATTTTCAACACCGCCATTTTCTTCAATAAATTGTTGAATAAAATCTTTATGCACTACAATTTCCTCCTACAAATACACATTTTTAAAAGTATGCGGGTGTAAAAAGTAAATACGAGTAGAATGATGGACATGTTATTTTATCAATTTATTATAAAAAAAAATTTTTTATTTTGTTCCAACTATCTAATTGATCAATTACCTGACTTATATCTAATTTATCTACTAATGTATCAATCAAGCTTTTCCACGTAGGATCAATATTTTGTGCCTATTAAAAATATAAATCAAAGATTAAAATCTATAATTTAATTATATTAATTAATATTTTATAAAAAATTTTTTTTTTAAATAACTTACAACATATCCGTCATCAATGTTATAACCAATATGACCAACATGTCTAAATAAAATAAAAATTTAATGAATGTTAAATATAATATTATCAAAAAAAAAAAAAAAAGAGAGAGAGAAACAAATTCCATTATAAACCTAAATCCTGTTGGACTACCAATTATGGATTTATCAATTACAACTTTTTTATTTTTACTCTTTCCCAACAATCCTCCGCCGCCTCCACCGCTTTTATTAGAATTTTTGTATTTTTTAACTGTTTTATTATTCATTCAAAAAAATTTTAATTATCATACTAATATGTATGTTAGAGAACAATTGAACCATTGAACTTATTTCTTATTTATTAATTCACCTTTGGGATTATTTTCTTTGTTAATAACTTTTTTGTACATGTTTTTTGCTTCATTTTCATTGGCAAAAGAAAATCCAACCATATATTTCTATAGAAAAATAAATTATAAGTATATATATATATATATATTATAAATATGACAAATTAATAGTAAATATAACATACATCACTGGAAAAACTATGGAAATAAGGACAATCTTGATTATATTGAAAATCAGAATATAATTCATGTTCCCATACCACACCACGATTATTCTAATTATTAATTAGTTATAAGTTAGAGCATTAGTTTAAAAGCAAAAGAATTATTATATTTGGAATCGTAGTAAATAATTACCGTTAAATCAACAATCCTGAAATAAAAAGATTTCTTATTTTCGTCAAAAACAAAGGCAACAGCGCCCATAATATTGCTATAAGTCCATCTGTTAGGATCAGGATGTGCAAAATAAAGTCTTGCAACTGTGGCAGCTAAAATTTTCTATAGATTATTTGTATAAAAAAGATTTTTTATTATTAGGGTAGTCCATGGATTTTATACATACATGTTGATAAAAATATATATATTTAAATACATTTTTGTCAGTTGGAATAACTCCTTTAATGGTTTTTTTATCTTCAGAGTTTGCGAGGGTAACTGAAGGCATTATGCTTCTAAATAATAATTAACTTATGACGTAGGTTCCATTATTTATATTATTTAGCAAATTGTAATATTGTACTACCAATAATAATGTGACGAGTATTTTTTTATTAAAAATCAACTACAAAGTTTACAAGAAAATCTTTGAAGAAAAATGGTATAAATGAAATCATAATCACATAATTGAAGAAGTTTCCTTGGAGTAAATAATCCATCCGATTCTTTGGCAACACAATAATAGTAACCAAGTGAAATAATTAATTAATAGACTTCAAAAAAAGAAGATCCCTTCTATTCTGAAATTTCTTATCAATTTTTTTTTGATGATTTCCAAGATTACCCGTACAACCCTTAGCTTCGGTTTTCGGACGCCGAAAATTTATATTTTGCCCAGCAGATCATTTATAATCTTATAGTAACAATTGGTTAGCTTCAAAACTTATCGGCTAGTTTTTTCTCAAACTAAAAATTGGCAGAGCTTGGCATTTCGAAATTTCGTCATCATTATTATTATTATACGCTTAAAGAAACAGTGACCAAGTAAATTTCATGTAACAAAAAATTTATTCCCTTTTTTTATTAACAAGTTTTAGAAAAGGAGGGAGGGGACTTCATTAATTGATCAAAAAGGTAATAGTTTTTTAAAATATAACGATTTTATCTCGGTATAATAGCATTTTTTTTGCCTTAAAAAAAAATTTAAATTCATGTTGATTTCAACATGGAAGAAGGTAACAGAGAAAATCAAACTCAAGTTAAAAGACTAACAAGAAAAAAACGGAAGGCTATTATCAGGTGTCATCGAAAGTAGAAAAATCAAAACATTTGCAATTTAACATCTCTCGAAAATAGAAAATTCCTTCCCCAAAAATTAAGTTTAACAAAAAGTCGATTTTCAACATCGCCTCAACATCAACATCAAACATCAACGTGCCATGTTGACTTCTCTCTTCCCTTCCCGGAATGATCACATCATGTTCAATAAGAGGGTATTAACTTCGTGAAACTACAAATTCCTTTTTATAGATAAAATTAACAATTAAAATCTTGAGATTGAATGTTGCACTGGATTTGATTAATAATAATAATAATTTGACAGCCAAAAAGATATGATACAAGAGTGAATAAGGCCCTGAGTTTGATATTTGATTCTTGAAGAACCTGTCGATATGTTCAAGTTGTTATTAAATCTGACACCCAATATCTTAAAGGGTAAAGATGAAATCACAAGATGATGATGATGCAACTACTCTAATGCTTTCCAGATGGAGTACCAAATGTTATTATTTGCAATAATCACCAACGCATTACTTTTTTCATTTTGGTATTATCTATCCTCTCTTTTATTCTTTGCTTTAAAGGATGATTAATGCTTGGGTGATGCAATTATTTATTTTATAAAGAAATATATATATATATATATCAATCATCATTAATACTTAATAAAGAAATCTTTCAGTAAAAAGTCATAAATTAGTGATCAGATGAAAGGAAATTGGGATCTAATAAACATTGGTAAGAAAATTGTTATATTTTCCGTTTCTTCTTAGGTTTTCAGTAAGCTTCCATTAACACCTTCACATTTGTTTTTTCTTTCAGTCCCTCTTTGATAAATCCTGTAGGTAATTCTTCCTTTTATTTAAGTATTCTTAATAGCTTTTTAATATCATTTATTTTGAAAATATACGGTGCAATTTTTTCACCTTGCTCTTTTTTAAAATGTTGTAATTTTTAGGTTCCATGATGGATCTGATGTAAATTAGTTTCATATCAAATCTATGTTCTTATATATCATTTAAGTAGAATATCATTACCATACATTATATTAGTATTAGAACATTATAATAATTGTAATTATATATAATAAGACAATTCTTTTGTTAGATTGGCCTCATTCAAGTCTAATAAGAAAATTAATTCAATTATTCAAATAAAACAATTATTGATTGTTTAGCCCTTTCTACTCCAAATTTAAACTTCAACCAATCTATTATTTTTACTACACTTGAATTCTTTTAGAATAAAAATCAATAATTGGCAGAGATATTGCTATTATTTAAACTGACCAATTAATGTTTGTTAAATCACAATCGCTTGCAGTTGGTCAACATTCTGGGATAAAACCCACGCATATTGTTTTTAACCCTTTCAGTATGCCATTAGCAATGTCGCTTGTTTTAATTAAGTGCACCACATATATCTGCCTTGAAATCATGTTTGTCATCCAACATTTCAGATGCACAGAGAGGATGCTTGCTTTATCAAATTAACTAAAATCACTCATCTCGACTCGTTTTTTTTAACTGCATTTTCACATTTGATGTGAGTTCTGATGGTTAGGGTTAGTAAAAGGTTGGATTGTTTTCGTAACTGTGAAATTAAGTTGCCTGTAGGGTGAATCAGTCAGTAAAACGTCACAAGCAGTGTATACAAATCCATCCTCTCTCTCATTTATCATACTGACCTTTACCTTTGTATATCCATTAAAAGAAGATCCTTAGTAGCTTCTAACCAACTGATTTTCGGCTTCCCTTCCGGTCGTAGTGTGTGATAATAGAATGTAGGAGTAAAATGGTTCCATCAGTACAAACAGTTGTATTATTTTGCTGCGCCGTGCGTTTCAATAATTTATCAATTATGATCTACAACTTGCTATTTTTTATTTTATCTTAAATTAATTTATCTTAATTCCCAAAAATTTAAACAAAGAACAAAACGAATTAAAAAAAAAATATATATATTTTAAAAAAAAACACGTGCATCATTAAATATGTCTGTAACCACAAGACAACCACAAGTTGACTTAAGATTTTTTGAACTTTCAACAACAATAGCTCTCATAGATGCTATTCGTAAATCTTTGATGCAAGATCTTTCACGCAAAAATAAAAAATTCAAAAACACAACTTCGAGAGAACTGTCAATATTTCTTGGAAGACTTCAGATATTCCAGGAAGAAAAATTAGGAACGCGCCTAAAAGTTCCAAAAAAAGCCTCATTTCCAACAAAAATACCCTCAAAACTTTTCAAATTTGGATCTGCTACTATTCCCACGACCAAATCACCGATTTATCACATTCTAAAATCGGCTTATAAATTCAAATATTCGAAAAAATGGGAAAAGTGGGACTGGGATAACATAGAAGAGATCACAGAGTTGATTTCAATTCTTAGAAATGTTTTAATCGAAAAGAAGATAATTAAGATACCTATAATAAAGTTTAGTCCATCACTTGATTCAAAGCGTGTCAAAAAATTAACAAGACTTGTTGAAAAATTGGGAGGTAAATAATTTATATATATATATATATATATATAATGCTGATTATTTTAAATTCATATTTGGCTCTAATTTGTTTTATTATTATTATTACTATTAATATATAAATAAAAGGTCAAGTAACTGACAATGATAAAAATGTTACTCATGTAATTCACAAATCAAACGATTATGAAGATCAGGATGAAGAATGGTTTAGAACTTTGGAAAAGAAAGATGGCAAAGTTCTTATACACTGGTGGTATTATCCAGATTCATATGATACTTGGGTTGAAGAAACATCTGAGCATGCCAATCCAGAACCAGCTCCTGTAAATAATGGTCCATGGAATGTTGGTGAGCGATGGATAACTGACGGCATCAAGTTTAATGAGTGGATGAATGAAGAAGACTATGAAATATCTAATATTGATAATGGTGAAAATGAATCAGGCGAAGAAAATGGTGGGAGTAAAGAGGAAGTGGTGATTAATTCAAGAAAAAGACAATATAAAAAGAAGGAAAGCCATGAGAACGACAATAAAGATAAAGTTGATTATAAAGGCAATCGTAATAATGATAAAAATAAAGAAAAATCATTGACATCAGAAACACACTCACAGCTTAAACCACAAAAGCGTACTTTAGATCAGATGCAAGAATCAAATACTGCTGATAAAATAAAAAACAATATTGAATTTCGTCCAATAGTAGCATTAAAACGAGCTAGAGTTAAATCACCAGAGGAATTTAAAACACTATTTGCTGATATTGAAAAAGAAGTATCAGACTTGAATTTACCCCAACAAAAAATGAATGAATATAATCCTAGTTTAAATGGTAATGGTGTTTACAATTTTATCAATGGTGACCATGATGATGATGATGCTGATGCTGTTAAAATGGGTGATATAAGATATGGTAAGTGCTTTCAAGATCAATTTAATAAATTAAATTCTAAAAACTTTTTTTTTAATATTATATTTTATTTTATTTTAAAGACAATGATGTCTCAATGACAAATCAAGAATATATAGAACTGAATGAAAAGTTTAATGAACAATCTTCACCCAAAATCGGCGAAAACTTACCAATCCAAGGCAACGTTATGGCCGATAATACCACAATCCAAGAAGTATCCACAGACAATCGCGGCCCTGATGATAACAATTCATTAGAAAATGCTGATTTGACCAAACCTGAAGATCCTAATGAAGGTTTTTATGACGAAGCTCGGGAATTTTTATCAGAACAAACACATGAAACAATAATGCCATCATACTCTGCATGGTTTGAATTCAACAAAGTTCATGAAATTGAAGAGAAGGCTTTGATTGAATATTTTAACAACAAAAATAAATCCAAAACTCCTGAAATCTATAAGGAATTTAGAAATTTTATGATTAACACCTACCGTCTTAATCCTCGAGAATACTTGTCAGTTACTGCATGTCGTAAAAATTTGCCAGGTGATATTTGTGGAATTATTCGTATTCATGCTTTTTTGGAACAATGGGGATTAATTAATTATCAGGTTAAATTTTCATATTATCAAAAAGATTTTTTTTAAAAGATAATTTTATCTTAATCTTCATTTTTTTTTTCTTTCGCAGCCTGAATTCGGTTCGTACAATTATTCTGCTGTGCCTCCATTAATCGGGAAATTCAAAATTACAGCCGATATGCCCAAATGTATTCAACCTTTTCCTCAAAATGATGCTCGTGCTGAAATTGTTAATAACGTTCAAAAAACACCAAATACCAAAAAAGTTTTTAAAGTTTCTGATTCTTATAATCCCAACCCAATTTTAATTATCCAAAACATTTATAACGCTAAGATCATCAATGATAATAAGGATGTAACTGATCAGAATAAGAAAGCAAAAGAGAAAGATCATAGCTGGACGGATGCTGAAACTTTATCTCTTCTCGAGGGAGTAGAATTGTATGGTGAAAATTGGAATATGGTGGCTCAACATGTTGGTGCAAAATCAAAGGATCAATGCATTTTACACTTTCTTGAACTCCCGATTGAGGATCCTTTGAAGTTTACTAAAGTTTCAAATACAAAACCATCATCGTCTGATTCTTTCATGCCATTTAGTCATATAGCTAATTCTGGTTTATTTGACGTAGATGCCAAAGAAGTAAACCTCATGGCGAAAACAATTACAAATAATTCTGATTCTAAAACTGAAAAGGCTAAACATCAAAAGAATGAAAAGTATCATTTGGCTAATGCAATAATGGAAAGTAGATTCAAGAAGCTTGAACTTAAGCTTCAACAATTTGAAGAATTGGAGAAGTTAATCGAGGAAAACAAGAGAGAATTACAACAACAAACCAATGAATTTTTTCGTGAAAAATTTCAATACCAAAAAGAGGTGATTACGTTTAAAAAAAGATTGAGAGCACTTGACAATAATGATGACAATAACAATAACAATGGCAATACCGATAACAACAACAGTAACAACCAATAGTATTAAATTTAGATTTATTTGGATAAAGCATATTTATATTAAGAACTTTATATATAATTAGAATTTTACTGATTAATTTCAAGTCATAATTTTTTATATTACATATTTGCTTGAAAACTTTTTGTATAAAATTTTTTTAATGATTAATTTTTTAAATAAAATAAAATAAAATAATTGCATGTTTTAGATGCATGTATTGGAAAAAGTATTTAACTAACAACTAACTTTGCTTTCTATCTATAGAACGTTGTTTGACCGGATTATCTGATTACCAGTTTCTCCGAATGATCAATTTTGAGAATAGAAGAAGCTTCGTTGTTTTCAATGGCTGTTTGACTTGTTTTATTGTTATTACATTTAGTGCTAGTCGAATTTTTACTTGAAGTTTTGCTCGAATTTATAATAATTTAACTAGTTGAGCATAAGTTATTATTTGATTATTTAAGTTTTGAGAATGTATTTGTCGATTATGGAATGAATTGTTATCATTCGGATCACTGTTATGATCACTATTAACGGAATTTTGACGCTTATTTGAATCCCTGCCGTGGTCACTGTTAGCAGAATTTTGATGTTTATTTGGATCACTGCTACAATCATTGTTGGCTGAATATTGACGCTTATCTGAATCCCTACTACGATCACTGTTAGCTGAATTTTGACGCTTATCTGGATCCCTATTACGATCATTGTTAGTTGAACTTTGACGCTTATATGAATCATTGTTACGATTATTGTTAGCTGAACTTTGACGATTACAGTGTGTTTCAAAAAAAATGGCGCGCACAAAAAATCGTATACTGCAACAATTATGCAAGATAAATAAATAAAATTATGTTCATTTAAAAGCCTACTAATACTTTATTAAATAAAAAAAAAATTAATAAGAAATTCTATCCCCGTTTTTTTCTAAGACCAATTCGCATCTCCGTTTCATAGACATAATAATATTTTTGACTGTTTCCTGAGGAATTTTTTCCCATTCTTCAACCATAAATCTCTTCAATTCGTCAACATTCCTTGGCATTCTTTTTTCAACATTATTTTTCACAATATACCACATGTTCTCAATGGGGTTAAGGCCAGGACTGTTGGATGGCCAGTCCATTGCATGGATTCTTTTTTCATCAATAAAAGTTTTTGCAACACGCGATGTGTGCTTTGGATCATTATCCTGTTGTAAACGCCAGTTTCTACCGTACAATCTCTGTGCAGCAGGTAAAAGCTGAGTCTCCAATATGTTGACGTAATAAGGTCCATCCATAATATTGGTAAAGCAAAATAACGATGTTTTGCCTTTTAACGAAATGCCACCCCAGGCCATTACTTTTTGACGATTTTTTGGCAATCTTCGAATTGGTCTTTGCCCATTTTTATGCCACCTGCAAATTTTATTACGAAACAAGTCAAAGGCCGTTTCATCAGTAAAAATTGTATGGCTCCAATCATCATTCATATGAGATTGTGCCCATTCCATTCTTGTTTCAATATGGCGAGCTGTTAACATCGGTGTTCCAATAGGCACAGAACTCTTATAATCTTTTTTTTTCATATGTCTCCATACAGTAGGATGGGAAATTGATGCATTATGCGTTTCTTGAAGTTTTATTGCAAGTTGTCATGTTGAAACAGCACTATTGTGGCAAATAACTTGCCCAATAGAACGTGCAAAAGTGTGTGTAACCTTGGATGGACGACCATTGCCGCCTTTATGTTCGATAGTGCCTGTCTCTTTTAATTTTTTTAAATTTCTTTGAATAGTACGAAGGGGTATTTTTGATATTTCATGTATTTCTTTTGGTAAATGGACACCATTCATCCAAAAATGTAAAATTGTTTTACGTTGTGCTTCTAATTTTGCAATAACCATCTTTTACAAAGTTTGCACGTCAAAAAAATAAAGACAGACAATGTGATAAATATGTACAAGGATTGATTATCACATAAACAAGTTATCCAATCATTTGATCATGTGAAAAAAATTTTTTTTATTTCAAAAATTTTCAAAATGAATTTACATTATGCGCGCCATTTTTTTTGAAACACACTGTATATAAGAATGGAATGGTCGAAGTTTTTTATGCAAAACAATTGTATTTCTTTTGTCAAGATTGACAAGACTTTCTGCAATAAGCTGAACACAGACAAGACTTTTCATTTAAAAAATGAACACAGACTTTTTATCCATACTTTACTTAACATTAAAATAATTTAAATCTAGACAATTATTTTTCATGGAACCAGTTGAGGATTTTTATTTTCTCTTTTATATCAATTATTGAATATACATTTGAAAGTATTTCTGATATTTATTTGCAGATCCACCCAAATTTAATTCTTTCTGCCTACTTTGCTTGTCACCACAGGACCAATTTAAAATCTCTTCAATTTTAAAATAAATAACCTACAAAATGAACATAAAATTGTATATATAGGAATAAGTGTATATGAAAAGTAATAGTAAATATAATGGTTCTACTGAATATCAAAAAGCAATTGATTTTTTAGAAAAAGGTTGTGATTGTGGTTGTTCTTCAAGAATTCCCAAGGAAGAATTTGCAGAATTAAGGGAATCTTTTCAAGCTCTTTCCAAGTCTGAACAAGACATATTTTTGATGGCCCAACTTAAGGCAATGGATGGTGGATCAATAAGCACTAGTAGACGCCTTAAAAAGAAAACTAGATCTAATAAAAGAAC